CAATTGAAATAATTGCCACCTTATTTGATTTAGTAGTTCGCCGCTATTTCTACCTCGGCATTTATTGATTTCGTAATTGTCTACTGTTCCAGTGAGTTCTAGGACATGTTTGAGGGTTAGGAAGGTCCAGAGTTGTCGTCCAGTCCAGCAATTGCTTAGTATGGGTGTCTGAAAGTCAGACATGTCGTCGTCTTCATGTTGCAGCGGTTTGTCGAGTTACTTACTCTTGCCTTATCATGATCTGTGTGTCAAGTTGTATTAACTGGGATGGTATTTGTGTGGTCTTTATGGATCCCCTATTCAGCTGCATTATTGTGTCTGCCAGCTTTGTCTGGCAAGATTTTTATGGTAGGTTATGGTTACATTTAGATAGGATTTTGTTCTATGTTAAAATATGCATTTCACCTATGCTTTAAGTTGTGGAAGGTCCTACTGCAGCCCTCTGTTTATTTTGAGTAGTAGTCTCTGCTCTAGCATCTCTAGCAGCAGATGCTTCTCTCCAGGATGATAATTAGGTTTATGTGTCCCAAAATTGCGCGGGGCTGCAGTCACAACTTAAGATAAATTTCAAGGCTAATGACTGAGAATTTGTGCTAAGTGTAGGCCACCGTCAAGTCTGAACCAGGTAAACAGGAGGGGAATCGAACCCTTATTGGTAGCGTGGGAGCATACCCACTTTTGCTTTGATTTTAGTTGAACTCTCCATGTTTGAGGTTCTGCTATGGTGGCTGGGAAAGTGATTGCATGATTGTCTACTAACACGGCTAGTTTTTAGTTTTTAGTTTGTTTAAGTAATATCAATTTAGTCCATAATTGAAGATCCTTTTGGTCATAATCAAAGTCATCTCAATGGTCTAACTAACTCTATGTTATGACAATTTGTAATAGGATATTATCAGCTTTGATTTGATAATTTGATAATCATTCCACCACAATTGTTTATAATTTACCATTGTAATGATTCGTAATCAATATCAATATATAAACTGGAATTTTTATTTTTTTTTTTCGTTCTTCCTTATTATGTCTCAGTTTGTTAGTTACCATTGATCGTATCTGACTAGTTCCATTTCTTCCAATACAGGGAAGTGTCCTACCCTTGTCACTCATCCTACCCTTGTCACTCTGCATGGGAGGTGTTGTTTTCCAACTGTGCAATTGAGTGTTAATTTTCTGGTTTCATTGTTGAAGAAGAACTGGCAAAATGTGAGTTCAGTCTCTTTACAAAACTAAAAGAAGTAAGTTGCCATGAATTCATGATTAATTTTACTCAACTGTTACTAGGGGCTGTGCAGCAAATCTGGCACTGCTGTTACTTTTCTATGATCCTTTCTTCATAGGCAATTACAAACAAAAAAACCAAAACATGACATAGTAATACAATTTTACTTCTCTGTTGACTCTATTGTGCAGAGTTCCTAGGTGATTTGTGCATGCCATTTGATGTATATCCTATAGTGTAAACACTGTTGAGTGTATAATGTTCTTCCCCTCTAGGTGGCTCATTTTTGGGTCAATAAAATTTTTCTTATTAGAAAATAATAGTCAAAAGCTCTGAAACATTATGGGTGAACAGCAAACTGTTACTGTTTATTGGAAGCTTCAGGCAGTGATGCGGTGAAGCTATGCGATTCATAGAACAAGCTGTGGGAAAATTGTAATTGGTCTCTGACCACAATGCACAGAAGTTTTACTGAAGTAACTCTATGATTTGTTGCAGAAAGACAGTGATGCTGTGAAAGAGGCACTTGATCAGCTGAGTGAAGTTGGTTGGGCAAACAAATGGAGTTCTCAACCATATGTATCATGTCGTATGGTCAGTGTCCATAACAAGTGTGAAGTTTTGGGAAAGTGCTACTCAAACATTAGCCACGTCTACGAATCTATGCGTAAATGTACATAAATAATGTACATCTGTTTACTGCTTTGAAAACTTCAGTAATTAATGTACTTGGTCATACAATATGTAGTTTAACTGTTTCAAATTTATGCGGCAGACCTCTCTTCGGGAGCTGACAACTCTTGGAATTAAAAACGCAGAGAACCTTGCAATCCCAAGTGTTAGAAATGATGTAAGTTGCCCTACACTAAATGTTTTGTTTATCCTGTAACAATAAAAGAGCATACATTCCATTGCATAAATTTCATTCTGTATTTTTTGGGAATCAAGAGTAGAATGTGATGACACCTGTGCCTTCCATTTGATTTTCTTTTCTTATTTTTGAAAGATTTAAACCATCATAATTCATAAATATTATATTCTCCATGAATTTGATTTCATTCAGTCATGCAGGCATCTTTTCTCTTTACGGTGGTAGGGACAACAGGCTTTTTCGATGTTCTTGCCGGGCAGCTTCCTCGGGTAACTTGACATAATATTCTTTCTCTCCGATTGAGTTGATATTATTTTGTTCCTTGAGATTTCCACTAATATGAAATTATAAGATAGTAAAAAATAAATATTTATTAACTTATGTAATTGATTAGTTAATAAAATTATTTTTAAACAATAAGCAAATATACCAAAAATAAAAAATTACATGTATAGCTATGGGAACCTAATAAAAATAATTACAAATCTATTTTTAAAAATTTCAGAATAAAAAAATTTTAATTTTAATTTAATAAATGGGTTTGAGTAGGAAGGAAATTGCTAGATTAATTGATATGGGATTGTTCATTATTGGCTATATTATATTAGAACTTTATGTAAATAGGAAACTATTAATAATAAATCATATATATAGTATTTCTTGTTTTAAAAATACCACGTCATATGGGTATCACATGTTTAAGGGTAAACACTACTTTTGAGACCATATCAATGATTTGAAGGTATAAAATACATCTTAAACAAAGGAGAAATTGCTGTGCTGATAATTTTTGTAATGCCAACAGTAAGTCATGATTCGCAAATCAAATGGTGCCTTTCGGGTTGAGTAACCATGTCTTATGGTGCTCTTGATCATTTTTTAGTTGGCGGAGTTAGGGTGGTGTTTTGTCGACTGAACAGTGCTAGTGATATTTGATGATTACATTGTTGTTAATAATAATTCCAAAATTTAGTAATGTGTATCACCATCATGTTCTCTTAGTTTACCATTGCTTAACGAGCATTTTATTATTAAGTAGACAGTGTTGTGTCATTATTGTAGCAATTACACTACTAATTTATGCGATGTTTATTACTCATGTACGTTTGTTACGTAATGTAGGTACAATGGTTCCGGGAGTCAAGACAAGACGACGGAAGAGAGCAACAAGTGGCAACGTACTATCAACATCTGAAGCATGTCCACAGGAGATTGGCACCCCGATGACGTTCTCTGATGAGACGCAACCACCAGATGATACACAAACTGTGGTGGAGGAGACGCAGCCAGGTGGAGTGGGTAAGAGCATACTATTTAGTTGTTTAAAAAAATTTTGGTTTTTTTTTTTTGGGGGGGGTGCATAAGTCATCAAGTAAGGCAATGAAAACCCCATAAAGACAAATAAAAACAAAGGAAAAAAAAACTAAACATTAATATACACATAACAAGGACACTTACACAACAAATAAAATATTAGGTACACAACAAATGTAATTTTGACTACGTTCCCCTCTTGTACTAGGGCAAACGAGGTCAACTCGTGTTCGAGGACCTACATTAGGCAAAGGGGTGCAGAAAAAAATTGCTAGGAAAAAAGGGGAGAAATTACACGTCTACGTCAATCGGGTGTTGAACGTAATCACAAGAGGGAATGCAACCCTAGCGATGAATGAGTTGGGCCTTCAAATTAGACGGTTGTGCCCTCTTCAGAGCGTGAAGTCATGGATAAAAATTGATCAAAATACCAAAGATGCGGTCATCCAAGCGGTGCTAGTATGAGATTCATCTTGCCATAATGTCTTTATTATGTAATTTGTAATTGGTTAAATTAATTGTTCTACTAATTTTGTATCTATGTTTGTAGGACAAGTTTGTTATCGGCGATGATTTTGATAATGATGAACAAGCTCAACAGATCCTCGATAGGAAGGCATATTTGCTATACAAGGATTGGAGGTACAATCTAAAGCAAGAGTTCCTCGAACTTGAGGAAAAGGGTGTTGATGACCCCTATAGTCATCCACCTAGTGGAGTGAGCTTGGAGGACTGGAAATATTTGATTGATGTTGCTTGGAAAGACGAATCTCACTTGGTAACAAATTAATTAGAAAGCCCATTATTGAAATTAAAATTTATGTGTTAATATGTAAAACTTCTTCACTAATAGATGTAGAACTTCTTCACTGAAACTTAGTAAAGCATGTTCTTTTCTTTTTTTTTTAATATTTTTGTAGAAACGGTCTACGGCTGGTAAAGCAAATAGGGGTATGCTCCCCTATAATCATACAAGTGGATCGCGATCATTTCCTATAGCAATGTCGCTTATGGTGAGAAGTTAATTTAGTAATGTAATGGATGATTGATTCTTCTTGATTGTGAATATTACCATGTACTAATTCGTCAATGGATTTTTCCCGAACGTAACAGGCAAATGAGGATGGGGATATAGATTTCCCCAAATTTTATAAGAAAGCACACAAGTCTAAGAAGACAGGAGATTGGATTGACCCCAAATGTGATGAGCTACATGTGAGTATTGAATGTTGAAACCAAGTGTGATGCATATCAATTAATAAAGTTTTTTTAAATTCCTTCTCCCATCTTGACTTTATTGTTTTGTTGGCATTACAGGATGATATGGTGAATCTACAAGTGACAGCCACCATTGCGGGGTTGCCATTGACCCACGAAGAAATATCAAGGCAAGTGCTCAGGGAAAAACAAAATTACTTGCGTGGATGTGGGGTAGGCCCACAACCCTCTTCCACAGCTTCTAGTGCGGCACGAGCACGTGATAAACATATGGAGTTAATGAGAGCGGAACTGGAGGTTCTTCATGAGCAGCGTCAAAGTGATCACGAGGAGTTGTTGAAGGAGAAAGAGGAGCGGCAAAGAGATCGGGAGGAGCTAGTGAAGGAGAAAGAGGAGCGGCAAAGAGATCAGGAGGAGCTATTGAAGGAGAAAGAGGCGCGCGAAAGAGATCGGGAGGAAATTACGAGGGAAAGAAAGCAGCTAATCAAACAAGTTGATGAAGAAAAAAAAGCACAGGAGGCACAACAAGTACAACTCAATCATCTAAACGACGTGGTGTCACGGCTCACAACCCTCTTGCCAGGTTCAGATGGTCATCCTACTATTCGGTAAACATAATTTTCTTGACACTGCAAGTTGTACAAAAAATATGGATCATATTGACATAGAATTGTTTTCTAAAGTTGGTATGCAAATATTTTTTTTGTGATGTGCTTCGAATAGGTTATGAGGCAAAATGTGAGTAGACATTGCAGCAGCCGACCTGGTGTTTTGATACATTACACAAAGGACCGTACTCTGATTTCTATAAGGTAACCAAGTCCAATTGAATGTGATTTCAGATTTAAGACTAATTGAAGAAACCAAGAGAAATTAGAATGAATTTTGATTTAGTACAATATAACGAGTGCAATATAACTACTACAAAGGAGCTTTGATTTCAAAACTCTAACTATGAAGAATGAATATGTCATTCTTAATAATAAATCTGTACAAATAAAACCAACACTAATTTGAACTGAATAATGTGTAAAAGAAAATTAAAATTTGTTTTGGATTTTTGAAAAGCAGTTTTCTTAGGATATTACTCTGGTTTGCAATGGACACAATGCCAACTATTCACATCCAATATATATTTGTTGCAAATAATTCTTCTCCATAGTGCATCTTTATGTACACCAAACCTTGACCACCATTTAATCAAGAAGCATGTGTTAATCAACAAACATAGTGCATCTTTCTCTTTCATTCTCCTTATCTCCAAACCCCCTTGTTCCACACTAATATATGACTCACAACGCCCAATCCTCACCTTGTTGCCTACACTTGCAAATTGAGTTGATGAAGAGTTCATACCTTAATTCATTGAGAAAAAGGCAAACATAGTCTAATTCAGCTGACACATTAAGCAAATGATGTAATTCAGCTGAAAACGTCATGAACTTAGCTGAAAAAAGGGCTTCGAGGGTCGAAAATTGAGAGCAGGCCCCGAAGCACTGTGGGGATGGCACGGGTTGTTTCCTCATGTCAAATAGGACCTATGGGGACAGACGGGACGTAATTAGCACGTGTACGTTGGGAGTTGGCGTGAAAAACGCCATAAACTTAGCCGAAAAAAGGGCTTCGAGGGACAAAAATTGAGAGCAGCCCCCGACACACTGCGGGGATGGCATGAGTAGCTTCCTCGTGTCAAATAGGACCTGTGGGGACAGACGGGACGTAATTAGAACGTGTACGTTGGGAGTTAGCGTGAGAAACGCCATAAACTTAGTCGAAAAAAGGGCTTCGAGGGCCGAAATTTGAGAGCAGCCCCCAAAGCACTACGGGGATGGCACGGGTGGCTTCCTCGTGTCAAATAGGACCTGTGGGGACAAACAGGACATAATTAGCATGTGTAGGTTGGGAGTTGGCGTGAAAAACACTATAAACTTAGCCGAAAAAAGGGCTTCAAGGGCCAAAACTTGAGAGCAGCCCCCGAAGCACTGCGGGGATGGCACGAGTAGTTTCCCTGTCTCAAATAGGACTTGTGGGGACAGACGGGACGTAATTGGCACGTGTACGTTGGGAGTTGGCGTGAAAAATGCATAAAGCTTATACAAATATATTAAAGCTTAGCAATATATATATATGTTCTATAACGATCTCTATATATGTACAGTTATGAATAAAATATATGTATGTTTACACATTAGAGTAAACTTGAGTTGGGGTTGACTTGGAAATTTGTTTGCACTTTAAATACAAGTTAACGTGTACAGAAACTATATTGAAATTCCTAAATTCAAACTATATTTACATACAATTTCAATTACAATTGACATCCTTGCAATTTGTGTTTTGTAGATGGCTATAACTTTTTGTTTACAATGGAACTAGTGGGTGTAATTTTTGTTGTGTAGATGGCTTTTGGCATTGACATGTGGATCTTCTAATTTTTTCTCGGAAGATACACTTATGCAAAGTTGGGAAGTTTTTTGTCGTCCTATACTTTTTGCTGTGGACTGTGGATGCATCGAACATATAATTTTTGACGGGGTACAAAGTATTTTTGGAGCTTGTATTAATTGCTCCGGTGGTATAGCATGAATGAACCGTGCAATTTGGATGCATCGTACATATAATTTATGGTGGGGTACATAATATTTTTGGAGCTTGTATTACCTAGTAATTTGTACCTTGTCAAATGGTCATTATAATGCATAGTATAGTAAAAATGTTGCGTATAGAGGACATAATTTTGGTAACGTATTTGGAATGTATGATGTTATTATTTGTAATTGGAATATATATAATTCGTTCGTACATAAGTTTACATTATTATTTGTAGTTGGAATATATATAGCAGGTGTTCATTTTTGTTTTATGGTTCTAAGTGAACCATGTAGATGATACATACAGGTTGTATACGTATTACAGGTTGCAGTGGATACATACAGGTTTGGACGAAATTTAGTAAAATTAAACAAACAAAACAAAAATATAAAATGACACTTTTGGTGACGAATCAATTTGTAGTTAAAAAGAAAAATCTTTTGACGACTAAATTTTTAGTAGCCAAAACGAATAAAAAAATAGTTATGGCGACTAATAATTTAGTAGCCAAAAAAACTGGAAAATAGTTATGGCGACTAAATGTGTAGTGGTTAATACTCAAAAGACTTTTGGCGACTAAATATTTAGTAGCCAAAGCAACTCCAAAACAGCTATGGCGACAACCTGTTTTAGTAGCTAAAACCTAACAAATTTTTGGCGACTAAATCTTTAGTCGCCAAAACATAATAAAATAATCATGGTCGACTAAACATTAGTAGTTGAAGTTGCACTATTAGCGACTAATAATGTCGCCGCCGTAGATATTGTATTTTTTAGCGACAAAAACCTTAGTAGCTAAATAGTTGAGTTAAAATATTTAATGAACGGTTTGGGCGACTAACGTGTTAGTCGGCAATGTCACTTATCCGCGACTACGACTGTTTTCGTCGCCAATGCCTGTTATTTTTGCCTACTAACACGTTAGTCGGTATTTTGTACTGCTTATGGTGACTAAATGGATTTTAGTCGCTAATTCCTTCGGCGACTATGTATGGCCGACAAATCCAACGACCAAATTATTTAGTCGGGAAATACTTTCGGCGACTAAAATATGTTCTTTTGGCGACGAAATTTTTAGTCACTAAAAATGTATTTTCTTATAGTGATCACACTTGAATCGTACATCACCCACCAACCCAACCAGAACTTTAGAATAGTATCTTCCTTGCTGACTCCTCCATCATAGGTTGTTTTCTATTAAAAACACAGTCATTCATCCTCCAAATGGGCCAAAAGGCAGCCAATGAGATAGCATTCTAGATTTTGTTTTCAAAATTCCTCCACTTGAAACTTCTCCACCAATCCAACAATCCTTCAACATTACTGACTTTTATTAACAATTTATACAATAGAATAACCAAAGAGGACATTGATACTTGACTAGAAATATAAGGAGTTGACTGTCACGATTTCATGTGCAAAGACCAAATTTAGATTTGGTACAAAGTGTAATTTATCTGCTCTTTAGTTATACCTTATGTAGTGTTTAGTAATAACTCCTTTTTTTTTTCTTTTTTTTTTTAATTATGACCTATGACATTTGTGGGTGTCATAACTTATACATGGTAGCATTACCCATGTTACTACGTATGCTATGAGGAAAAGAGCTATGCTATACATACATAATAGGTACCCATAGGACACACCGATCACCTAGTCTGAGCTCGTTTGGGATGTGATTATTTTAATTGAATTTTTAATTTTTTTTATAAAAATATATGCAAAAAAAAAATAAAAATAAAAATATAATTAGCTGTTTTAACTTTTTAATTATTTTAACCAAAAAACCGACATTCAAACAGCCACTCAATGTTTATGTTATCAAGTAAAGGAGAAATTCTATAATTATAATTAACTCTACTGTTTCGTATGTTTAGTAAATCCTAAACCCTCCTGTCATCATATCCTTGTAGGTTAATTTTATGGTATGCACTTTCATATGTAAATTATGTTATTTGTTATACTACTTATCATAAACAACAATGATTCATCCCCCCTTTTCCCCCACCCCCTTTGACCCCCTCTCTCTCTCATTGGTTACATTTTCTTTTTCTTTTTCTTTTTTTTCCTGCTCCTCCAATTACCACTTGCCACGTGACAAAGGGGGGTGAGGGGGTGACCCCCAAAAGGGGGTCCCAAGCATTATTCTATCATAAATATCATAACTAAATCTTCTCTAGTTATAATTTAAAAAAAAAAAAGAAAAGAAGAAGATATAACCAAGCACTACATGAGATATAATTGAAGATTTTTTGAATTATAATTAAAATAATATCATAAAACATTATAATGAGTCATAACTAACAGCATAAGAGTCATAACCAAATTATAATTAACACCACATGTTATATTCAAAAATCATAAAAATCATAACTGAGATATATGATACATAACTTTTTGAGGGGTATGTATCATAGAATTATCCCTTGTGTAGTAATGATGTTTTTGGGGAAGTTATTTAATAGTCTAGGAGTATTTTTCCACACCATTCATATTTGGACAAGTGTTCAGTTGTCCCCTTCCCAAAGGAGGCAAACAAGTAGTGAGACCTACTGTTTTACCAATAATATTTTAATTGGGACACCACCTAGATTTGGCCTTGGGGCAATGAATAATTTTTCAAGAATGAGACCCGTGTGGAAGAATATTTATTAACAATGTGTGGACCGTGTAGAGTAAGGGGATATTTGCTAACCTGATTCAGCATTTAAAACTAATGCATTAATTGATACTCAATTAAATCTGTTTAATAATCACAATTGATATCACTTACTCTTAAAATGTAGGTTAAAACTTAAGAAAATTTTAAATCATATGAAACTTACTTAATTCTTACTGAATTTATAAATACAAAACATAAGTATCAATATACACTATTATAAACGTACCACCACCATGCCGCCGCCACCACTACCACCACCATCATGCCATCGTCGCCGTACCACCGCCGTCGCCGTCGCCGTTTCCGTCACCGTCGCCATTGCTGTCGCCATCATCCCCACCACCACCCTCATTACCATTATCATTGTTATCATAAACACTGCCATCATTTTACTACAACTACCATCACTACCACTATCGCCACAACCATCACCACCGCTATTGCCACCACAATATAAAAATTAAAATATATAATTTAAAAATAATAATTTTCAAATTTGATCTTATACATATAAAATAATTTATTTTTAATTCTGCACTTAAATTTTTATTAAACAATTTTAGCTTAAAAAATTCAGCATTCAGCTTTCAATACTTTATTTTTAATTTTATCAAATACCACCTAAATAAAAAGTTCACGTGTTGAAATTTAATTTATTATTATTATTTTTTGTATAATTGGTCATGTCATGCTCAGTCAAAGTCTTTCGTTCTCTCTTTCTCTCTCCTAAGTATTTGTAAAAAATAAAAATTAGTGAATTGTTTTTTTCTTATTGTAAGTATTTTTTTCATTTTTATTTTATTTATTTCGTATTATGGAGCTGTTATTAATTATTTATTTTCTACAGCAGGTATTTCTTTAGCTGTTTATTTTTTTTCTTGTTATACGCTATTTTTGGTATTGGTGCCTAGATTAGTTGGTCCAATAAGCCGGATATCAAATTATTTAAAAAAATAAAAATTTGTTAGTTTACCGTATTTTTTTTAATCCGCAAAAGAGAACTTATTTATGATAAACCAAGATTACACATCAATAAAAACTTGGAAGGAAAAATGTATCATAACTGGACTCCAGGACGGGTCAACCCTTTCGGAGGCGTAAGGCAAAATTTTAAAATGTGACCTTTGGCTATTTAAATTACAATAATAATTTTTAATATTTTATTTTCATTTGAAATTATTTTTTCTTGCTTTTTATGATGCAAAATTACTAACTAATCAAGTTTTTGTAATGTGTGTTTTTGATAAAATGTTAATTTGCTTAATTTTTTCTTTAAATATTGCTGAGCTTCGATATAATTTTATCAATTTTAATTTTGAAAATTTCTTTCCGCAAAAGAAACTCTTACATGTATTATTGATATTAAAACATTTATAGAGCATCTGTATAATTTCCTTTCATTTATTTGGATGTGAGGTTTTATAGATTTTACACAAAACTTGTAAAGCCTCTTTTCAATTTCTCATTTATTTTTACCTCTCATAATTAAACCATAATATGTGATTGGTTTCGATTCCTCAACTACAAAATTAAAGGGTTAAGTTTTGTACTAAAATTTTCTATCCTTGACTAAACCAAATCAAATCACTTTCAGCCTTAATGGAGAGGGAGAAAAAAAAGAATAGAATTGTGCATTTTATATGGGTCTTTAGTATAAAAAAAAACAAGCCTTTCATGACCACCTTAATTATAGAAGTCCCTAAACATAAAAATAAATGAAATTGGGGTAAACAATCAATAGGTCCTAATAGTTGGACTTCATTCCCATCAAGTCCTATTGAAAATAAGTCTTAATAAAATTGTCGCTAAAAATAATTTGTTTGTGACAATTTTATATATATATATATATATGTCGCTAAAAATTGACAATTAGCGACTTTTTTTGTCGTGATTTTTATAATTTGTCGCTAAAACTTACAATTAATGACGTTTTTTTGACAATTTTTTCTCATAGGACATATTAGACAATAAGTCCATTTATTAGGATTTACACGTAAGTACCCCATAAAATTATGAGGCGTTCACAGGAATGAGGCTTAAGGCAACCGCCAGAGCTGCCTAACTGTAAGGCCGGTCTTGGATTGGACTAGAACATCCCAAAGAGTAGGAATGAAATTAGGAAAAGAATATGGAAGTCATGACCCCCTTATTTTTGTGAAAATTTATGTTTGTCATAGCATTTCTAAAAATATATGCCTTATAAATAAAATAGTTTTTCAGTATAAAAACATATATCTCATTATTCTCATATTTTGTGTTCTTTTTTTATTTTGTACCGAAGAATTTCTTTATCCTATTAGAAATTACTTCTATGGCGTTTG